GTAACACACATGGGATGAAGAAGGAGGAGAGAATCTTTTGTCCCACAACTCTGGCACATTCACCCTCATTCCAGTCCTTACGTGTTGCATTTCCTGGGCAGGGCGTAACCCTCCAAACCCGGGCGCACAGAAATGTTGCTGATGGTGTTACGGCAGCTGCGGCACTGGATAGCTATTTTGGTGGCTTTGGCTCTCACGGGCGTTGCTGCAATTACAATCCCAGGGATCTTCACAAGGTGGGACATCTGGTCAGACTGAAAGGGAAAATGTGCAGGGAAGGTGAGAAAGCATTTCATTGCAAGAGTGACAAGAAGCTTAACCATACTACAGGTGTGAAAGAAACACAGGAGTACCATAAAGAAAAAAAAAAAAAACCCACTAAACTTCTTGGCAACTCCCCACTCTTGTTCTACAGGAATAGGGGGAGACTACATGACTTAACTCTTCTGCCTTCAAAGCGAGAGAGGTAAGAGGACAAAACACTACATACAAAACCCCTCTAACAGCATTATCAGCCAAGATAGGACCCAACCAAAACAATCCTGCACAGTCAGAGTTAAGATGCTTTGTATTCTTGTTTATAAATTAATGAACAAACCATGTCCTGAATCAAGTAATCAATTACCTAAAGTTCCACCAGCAATCACACTCACACACAAGCAACCCATTCCACATAGCAGTAGTTTCACCTCACCTTCAAACTACGGATGTTGGCAGCATTGGCATCTGATCTCAGCATGACCTGGATGTCTTGCAGAGCTTCTTCACCTGAAGGACGAGGACGGGTGACCTCATCTGCAACTTCTTTTGCTGCTTCTTCCAACTAAAAGGCGAATAACTAGGCTTTTACCAGCATACTATGGAGCACCATCAGGACTGCTCTCATTACATGACTAAATGTTAGTGCACCAGACCTCCCATTTCCTCCCTCCTTACCAGCTGAAGGTGCTCTGCTGGTTGCTTGTACAAATAGTCAGCAAGATCTTCATCAAAGCTGGCTAAGTCTTCCATCTCCACCTCAACCCAGTACTGACCCAGGTTATAGTGGCGCTTAAGTTCATCTCTGCAAGGCAATAGGCAGTAAATGTTTGCAGAGCAGAAAGCATCAATCTTACCAAATATGTCCACTCACCATCCCAAAACAACCTTGTGATTTCCCAGGGTGCAAAGAGGGCAGGTTCTGCATGGAGACTTTACTTTGGAAAGGAAATTCGGAAAACAGGCAGAGCTCTAAGAAAAGCCATGGGGGTCCTTGAGGGTCCTGGGCAGATCTTTCACCCCAATGCACTTTCAAAAGTGCCGTAAGATCAGGAACATTAGTTCCTGTAGTGATAGTGTAAGTTTAATGCTATTTTTTCACTAGAGTCACACTATCAGATGGGCAATTCAAGAACTCCTATACAGAATAATGTCTATTCTACTAAAACTGCAACAGTTTAAAAAAGAAAAGGATGTAACAGCATAGCAGGCAATATTCCCCTTACAAAAAAAAAGGGTGCAAGAAATTCAGAGGTGACAGCTGAAAGATTTCCCTAACTCCATCTTCTCTCTCACCAGTCTCTCGAACTTGCATAGGCAAAGCAATCACCGAGGGACCTCCAGAACTTCACAGGGCATAAGTGGACAGCATTTTACCAATTTTCATACACCAGACTCTCCAGGTCAGGCCATATGTATACCATGCATACACTATTACACCATTCTTACTACTACACTACTCTCTGCCACTGCAGGCCCAATTATTGCCTACAAATACATGAGAATGCCAGATCTCAGCTTTCCCATAAGCTCAAATGGGAATGATGACTTATCTTATCCTAGCAAGGATAAGGTCACAGGCAGGGAAGTGGAGCCACCACGAGCCACGGCAGCACCTGTATTTGAAGGTGAAGCCGGTGCGGTCCGTGCCCACGCGGTACTGCCGCAGGAACTCCTTGAACCGCCTCTGCAGCTGCGACTTGCGGATCTGCCCCTCGTCGGCCGACGCGTCGCCCCCGAAGCTGTCGCTGTAGTAGACGCCGGGGTCATCGAAGCCGGACATGGCCACCCTGGCGGGTCAGAGGACACGGTCACCCCGGCCCACCTCTTCCATCCCTCCCTCCCCCCCAAAAGAGATCCCACCTCCCGCTGCCCTCTCTGCTACCATACGGGCCCACAGGCCTCACCATTATCCCAGGACCCCCCAACCTACCCCCTCCTCCCCCACCCCAAAGG